AATAATATGTAGTGGTAAGTTAGTAAATAAAGATATAACGTCAAAGCTTACTATTATATAATTATTTGGTAGTTGATAGTTATTGATAAAATTACTTAGTTTTAGGAATCTTGTATAGAGAAACTATTATTTAAGTTATATGACCTTGTAAGAATATCATTCAAAAATTTTACTAACTTACTGTTTGGTGAATTATTGATGATACAATTGGTCTCATCGTTAAGTTAGGTTTATGTACTTTTGGTTGTGCATAAAAGCGTGGTGTGACAGAGTTATATATAGTGAGAGTTGAGGCTTCTTCTTTAGTGATCATTTTTTTATTTTTCAAGTCGGTAACTATTTTGTTAGCTTTTTGTTGCAAGGTACTTGTGGGATTGTTTTGTAATTTTATAATGCACTCTATAAACAAATTTTTGGCACACCTATGGGCTCAAGTATATCGTGTATATTATGTAATTATGTACTAGACGATTTAATAAGAGATTCTTTAAATAAATTGCCTTTTCATATCCCGTTTATCAAACGTTTTGTGGATGACTTAATACTTGCTTACCTGCAGACAAAATAAATGAAACTTTACAAACTTTTAATAATTATAGTGAACATTTACAATTTACATGTGAAAAAGAGATAGATAATAGCATCCCATACCTTGACATAAGAATCAAACGAAATGCACAAAATATATTAAGCACTGAATGGTACAGAAAACCTATAGTTAGTAACAGATTTATTAATTATCATTCCCAACATCCACCTCATATGAAAATAAATTTAATATTGGCTTTAAAAAAACATAATAGTCAAATTATCACACACCAATAACATCAGTCATAATATATTCAAAATTAAAATATTGTACTTGCATAAAAATATAATTTAGGAAAACATTAATAATGTTTTGTGAATTTAATAATTTAATGGTTTAACCTCATGTTGTTCAAGTTTTTCAATAGTTCATTCAAGTTTTTATATAGTTTTATACAATGTTTTTCTTAATTTTAATTTCATTGTATTTACCATAACATATTTTAGCATATCCTGATGAAGCAAATAAATTTTGCGAAAGATTGATTTAAGAACAAAGAGTTTTACTTATCCTGCCCTACTTAAATGACTGCATCCTCAAAATAAAGTTTTATTTTACATAACGTGTCAGTCAATAATACCTAACTACTTTATATATATATATATATATATATATTATATATATATATATATATATATATATATATATATATATATATCCGGTTTTTTTACGGTTTTTTAGACGTTACGCCCGTCCGGTAGGGATCTATGGAGGAGTATCACCGAGCCGCAAGCCCTTATCTCTTGCCGTACTGCTCCACCATAGGCCGATCAGATCCCAGCATATTCTAGTCTAAGCCGCAGATTCATCTAAAATTTTAAACTGCTGCGTTAGACTTTTTGTTTTCTGTACACTGAGCTGGGGCTCGATCCCACATCCACTGAACCATTCGACAATGAAGCGAATGAGAGGCAGCCGCACAGCCCGCTGAGCTATCTGACCGACTAACGACTAACTACTTGTTACCATGAAATAAGGGCAAGCTCGGGAAAAGCTAATAGTTGCTAATTAAAATGGAGAGAGCTAATTGTTGCAAATGAGAAAGTGTTACAGGTCCAAAGAATTCAGAATAAATTATTGAAATAAAGTTTTATTATTTTATTTTTGGCTAAATAATTGTTAACAACTCCACAAGATTTCAAGGAAAATTAATGCATTCCCAAGTCTTATTTGGTCTCTGAGATGATCTATTCGTTCTTTCCTTGATTTTGTACAGCCTAAAACAAAAATAAGTATAAATTTAAATGAATAATAAACTTTGAATTAAAAATAAACAAACCATAAAACCTATTGCTTACTTTAAATGTTAATGTCAAAAATAGCTTGATAGAATTCTTCTTGTATTTTTAAACAGATCTCAATCCTATTAGTAGTACAACAACTTATTTTAAATAAATTCCTACTGGACAATGGCCGGCGCCAGATTAAAAAAAACTTATCTTTAATTTTTTCTTTTCCTTTCTTTGATGGTCTTTTGTATGAAAAGTATTGGTTCGTGTAGAACTTAAAACGCAATTTTGCGGATTTTCTAGAGTTTTCTTGATAGTTTTCGAAAATATAATAGTTGTAGCAGTGAGAAGCTGAGCAATTATCACTTATCGTGTGGATTTGTTTTCTAAAACTAAAGGAAACTCGATTTTCTAAACTAATTTCGTATTAGAAATATTTTAAGGCCACATGTGAACAAAGGTAGGTTTTCTTTTGGAAAAAAATAATGAACTACTTACGTTTTAAACATAATTAAAAATCCTAAAAAAACGTTATTATGTTTAAAACGTAAGTAGTTATTTATTTTTTCCAAAAGAAAACCTACCTTTGTTCAAATGTTGCCTTAAAGTGTTGCTAATAGGAAATTAGTTTATAAAATCTTTTTTTTTTGGCTTTTTAGTTTTAAAAAACAAATCCACACGATAGATGATAATTGCTCAGCTTCTCATAGGCTGTCAACATGGTCTTGTTGCTGTGAATGATACAATGCGAGGTAATTTGATCTCTACCTGATAATTTAACATAAGATCTGAGAAGGAATGGCTAACACATTGTACACCATTGTCAACGATAATTTTCTTTGGCATAATACGAGAAAAACTTCATTTTCGAGAATCTTAACTATATTTGTGGCAATTGCAGTTCGAAGAGGATACGCTAGGAGGTACTTACTAAAACAGTCTAAGATAGTTAAAATAAAAGTAAAAGCCTGTGGTGGTTCGTGGTAATGGTCCTACTAAATCTACGCTAATTAACTCCCATGGACGGGACGCGGTCAGTTGAGCAGCTAAACATTTGCCCTTGGGGCAATTTTTGCTCCGGTTTAATGCGCTGACAAGCCATACATCTCCGTACATAGCGCGCTACGTCTGCGCGCATCTTAGGCCAGTAAAATTTTTGAGTTATCCTAGCGAGGGTTTTGGTAACTCCTAAATGACCATAAGTAGGTGGATCGTGATGAACTTTAATGGTTTGAATTCGTTTGTCTTGTGGAATAACTTCTAACCATTCTGGGAGTCCTAAATCTGGATACCGCGGCTTGGTATTTTTAAAAAGTTTATCGCCTTCCACTGCTCACAAAGGGAATTTGTCAGGAGCTGCGTTCACTTTGAATAGCATATCGGGAGTATCACTCGTCAGTAGATGAAGAGGTTGTCACAGAATCGATGGAAGGAGTGACAGCTCGTAAAAGCGCATCTGGTACAAGATGGTCCTTACCTTTTCTGTGGACGACTTCGAAGTCATAAGCCTGTAATCTTAAAGCCGATCTTGCAGTCCGTCCTACAGGATCCTTTATGCTGAACGACCACTTCAAGCTGTACTGGTCCGTGATTACAATAAACTTAGACTGTTTTAGGTAAGTACCTCCTAGCGTATCCTCTTCGAACTGCAACTACCACAAAAGAGTCGCTCAGAAGCAGAGTGGCCTAAGTGTAAAATTGATGTTTTGAGATATCGGCAAATAAAGAATTGAGCTAAAAATGAAACCTTTTTTTATTAACCAGTATTATTTTATTCACTTACATAAACATTTCTGGAACCTAATACATTATATAAGTCGAAATGCGCAAAAAATTAACAAAAAAAAATCTTTTTTTTCTACAAAAAAAGTCAGTTGGGCCACTATGTCAAATATTAAGCTTTTACGAAAAAAACATAAAACTTTCACTTGGGCCACCTATTCATCTGTTTCCGATCCAATATCATTATCTACTTCCTCCACGTTTGTTTCAGGTTTATGTAAGAAAGAAGACTCTGAAGGTCTTTATAGTTTAGTTGCTCTATGGGTCTTCCAGCAGGATAGAGGATGTCCAAGTAGAATTCTTCTCTTTTTATCTGAAAGACGTGTGTTCTTTTTTTTGTGACGTCAACACAATTAAATAATACACTCTCGTTATTAGAATACTTAAAATAAATTTTGAATGGCTCTTCTGATTTCAACATAAGCCACTGTATTTTAAGCCATTCTACTTTTATCTTGCTCTCTTTTTTTTTTCGGTTTGTAACTTCTCTAGTTTTTAAGTACACTTAAAATTTTCAGAGGTCATTTTAAATACGTTCAATTTGTTCTTCTTTTTGGAACTGGAAATAACTTTCACCCAATCGTGTGCCAAAAAAATGTCTTTAAAATATCGTTTTTGTTTTTCGATCACTCCAATGTCTCTGTCACATGGCAAATAGGAGTGACCGGAAACTAGAAACTTGTGATATATGACTGTGGGACGGAAAGTATTGGAGACACTCATGTATGTACAAATAGATCCCAGTTTAATATTTCGATTCTGACATCCGCATTGGTCGCTATACAAGATCAAAACTGGTGTGTTAACATATGTTTTTACGTAGTGTAAAATGCAAGAACCAATTTCTTGTGGGCCACGTGAGGCTATGCCTTCATGCCATACATACATGTGTATCTGTCCTGTCGTTGGATTGTAGGTGCCAAAACAATACGTCCACAACTGTCTCTTGTAATAAGCTACTCCCGTAGAATTACTAGGAGTAGCTAAAGCTTTCAACAAATCAAATGTAATTGGTATCTTTATTCTTGGCTGCATCTTCCTTCATTCCACTTCGAGCTGCTTCTGCCTTCCGCAGGTGTAACTCTTTCTCTGTTTCCATTCTGCTTTTTTCTTCACCTACACAGCTTTTTACTTTCATGTTATAAGCGTCACATCGTTTTTAAGTGTCAGTAAGAGGATAACAGAAATGCAGATTAAAATCTTCATTAAATATTTTCGAAAAGATAAATTTGGATACCTTCACTTCTGGTTCTTCACCTTGCACATACAAATCATAAAGTTTTGAGATATTTAAATCAAGTGACAGATACTCTCGATTAGGATTTTTGTTGCGGCTATAGTGTGGTGTATATTTGGCAAATTTGTTAATGAAATCTTTTTTATTTTGAATATCGGTTTACCTTGTCTTATTCTTAGGGGGGTGCTTGCCTCTTTTATCTAGTGGCGGATTGATTAATTCACCACCTATTGATTTGTTTATTAAAGCTTTGGTGAGCCTTCCATCTGAAACTTGTAGAGCTTTTCTGAAAAATGATTTACAAATAGTTACCATATCACCTGATTTTTTCGGTAATGTAAAAATTCGTGTCGTAGAACGTCTATTGTGGTTTTGAGCTACTGTATGTCGACCTTTATTGACAACATTTACTTGTATATTAATGTAAGCAGTCTGTAAATGAAAATCAGATAAGTTGTAAAAACTTTGGAAAATATTTTTTCTTTCTTCAAGAGATAACAACAAATGACACTTTCGTGGACAGCTGCGGATTCCATGAAAAAATTTTTCTTAGACACAATTCTACCACGAGAATTTAAATATGATTTTCCTGAATTTCTTTCCAACTTAGACTTAGATCTTTTCCAAACTGAATTATTTTTCTTACGTTTTTTACCCCTACTTGATCCAGGTTCCACAAGTCCATTTTCTGTGAAGCTTTCCCTAGTTGTAGAAGATCGGCATCAGAAGGTGGATGGAAGTCAGAGCCAGAATCTGTTTCAAATTCACTGGGTTCACAAGTAATGGATGTATCCGACAACGGAATATTCAAACTATAATAAAAATATTCTCTATTAATTTTATTATTAATTCAAGTGATCAAATGTCTTTAAAAAAACTTTTGAATAAAATCCTTTACAAATGTCTTTAAGTTAAAGACTAACCTATACTTTTGGCAAGATCGCTTAGAAAACCATAAACATACCATAGATATTATAAAAAGATGTCTAAGTAGAAAACTAGCCTGCTTTCATCATTTTAAGGTTATAATTTTAAGATTATAATCTTAAAAAATTTAGAATCCTAATTTAAATTTTGAGCCGAGATATTTACAATCACTATTAATTTACACTAAAAACAATAATTTACTCACCGTTGCTCAAGATTGCACAAACATAAACCGTGTAAAAGGCTGATAGTACTTTAAAGAACGAATTAACGCTAGGCAAGAGTGATACAAACACACAAGGCAAGAGTGACAATGTCTAAAATATCATACTGCACACTGGCCCAATTGTCACTTGGGCCACGTTTCCATAACTAGATCATGTGAAATGTTTACGTAGCCTAACTGTACAAGTCGCGCCATCTCTTGGTATACAACGAAATGCTAGTTGAGCCACTCTGAAATGAAAGATAGGATAAAATGTCACCTATTGTACTACCTACCTGAATTATATAAAAAAATCAGTTCGGCCACTCTGCTTATGAGCGACTCAAATATAGTTAAGATTCTCGAAAATAAAGTTTTTTTCGTACCTATATGGAGTGCCAAAGAAAATTATCGTTGACAATGGTGTACAAGTTGTTAGCCATTCCTTTTCAGATCTTATATTAAATTATCAGGTAGAGATCAAATATATCGCATTGTATCATCCATAGGCAAATCCGGTAGAGCGACCACATCGAGTCATCAAGACCATGTTGACAGCCTATGTCTCGGAAGATCAGCGTCATTGGGACCAGATTCTACCGACAATCACCTGTGCTATGAGATGTTCCAAGCATGAAGTGACTGACGTAACTCCAAATTTATAAACTTCGAGAGAGAAATTCGTTTGACGGGCACAGAAGACGAAAATGTGCAAAACCTCCCAAGGAACGTAGTCACCAACGTAAAGGATAAGCAGGTAGCCTTAGAGAATTTGTTTGCTGATGTTAAAAGACGTTTAAAGTCTGTCTACCTGAAAAGGAAAAAGCCGTATGATTTGCGACATCGCAGTGAAACATTTAAGATTGGTGATATGGTCTGAAGAAGAAATTATGTGAAATCGGACAGATCTAAGTTTTTCAACGCCAAATTAGCGCAAAAGTTTGTTGGTCCTTCTCTATTGGGAAAATCGTCTCACCATGGACCTACGAACTTGAAAATTAGTGAACGATGAAAATTAGTTATTTTTTTTATTAGTTAAGCTTAAAAAAATCTACTTTGTTTTATTCACTTGTTAAATTACAAATTAAAAAGTTTCATAGACACTTTTTGTAGGAAAGGGGTGGTGTTGTTACAGGTCCAAAGAATTCAGAATAAATGATTGAAATAAAGTTTTATTATTTCATTTTTGGCTAAATAATTGTTAACAACCCACAAGATTTCATGGAAAATTAATGCATTCCCAAGTCTTATTTGGTCTCTGATATTATCTATTCGTTCTTTCCTTGATTTTGTACAGCCTAAAACAAAAATAAGTATAAATTTAAATGAATAATAAACTTTAAATTAAAAATAAACAAATCATAAAACCTATTTCTTATTTTAAAGTCAAAAATAGCTTGATAGAATTCTTCTTCTTATAGAACAGACAATGACCGGCGCCAGATTAAATAAAAACTTATTCTTTAATTTTTTTCTTTTCCTTTCTTTGGTGGTCTAGAGTTTTCTTGATAGTTTTCTGAAAATTTAATAGTTGTAGCAGTGAGAAGCTTAGCAATTATCACCTATCGTGTGGATTTGTTTTCTAAAACTAAAAGAAACTCGATTTTATAGACTAATTTCGTATTAGAAACACTTTAAGGTCACATTTAAACAAAGGTAGGTTTTCTTTTGGAAAAAAAATAAATAACTACTTACGTTTTAAACATAACAACGTTTTTTTAGGCCTTTTATTTTTACTCTGTGATTTAATCTAAAACCATTTTGATTATCTTTTCAACTTATATTTATAATCTCGTGACTCCTTAAGGGATTGGCTATCAGTTTTCAATATTAGTTAGGATCGGATGTTATCCAATTGTCCATAAGAGAGAAAGAACCTAAAACGTCGGATTATTAAAGGAAATAATAATAATAAATATTAAGTACTCACCTGGGATCGAGTCTCCAGAAATCAAGAAGATAGACTTTCTAACAGCTAAGTGGAATTTTATTCTTAATTTTGGTAGAATCGAACATTACACTAAATTTCTCAATTTTTTTAGTACGACACTGTAATTAGAACCCCACTGCAGTGGTTATAATAAGAACTTGTTAATTAACCTTTTTACTTTATTGTTCAACTATTGATTTTAAATAGATTTAAAAAAAATCTTTAATAAAGACAAAAGTAGCAATCGAAGAATATATTGATTTATTGATAATAATTCTTTTACCCACTTCCCTGAGGGCTCTCCGAAAGAGCGTTTTCAATCCCATATCAAAAGGGAAAACTCTTTTAAACACTTCTAATCTAATACTATAATAACGTCTAAAGGTGTGAGACCATCGACGGTGGTAATGTAATGTAATGTAAATTATAGGTTTCTATCGATTATTTCCCACCTTTACGAGTTTCATCTCATCTCTTTTTATTTCACAAGGTAACTGTGTTTTCTACAGTTTTCTAAGGCTCTTGCTACACAATGACTAACATTAAGCTATATCAAAGAATAAAGTTTACTCGGTACAAGGTGACTACCCAATGGACTGAAACGACATTGGATTGTCAGAGACAATTCACCTATCTTCAGTTTACCTGCCGTTTTGAAGTCAAACCATCATAGAAAATAATCGGTCGTATCTATAGTCCTTAACTAGTATACAGCAATAATCTGGCATTCAATGTTTCGTTGACTAGGCCGAACATCCGGAAGTATCCCAACTCATCTTCCTAGGACTCCCTTTCGTGTCCTTGAAAATTTACTAAACTCCAGATTAACGTGCATATACCAGCAAGTTCTACACACCAAGAAGATTAATGGTTATGACCAGTTATATGAACTAATGAAGGTATAGGTCTTCTTTTTTTTACGGTGCCTATCCGTTCCGGATGTTGGCGATCAACATGGCTATCCTAACTTTGCTATGCTGCTATTTTAAATAGTCCGGTTGTCGATGTATTAAACCACTTTCTCAGGTTTTGAAGCAAGATATTCTTCCTCTCCTGGTCCTCTCTTTTCTAAATACCTTGCCCTGAAGAATGAGTTGCAACAAGCCCTTATCTCTGTTCATTCCTCATAACATGGCCAAGATATTCTAGTTTGCGCTCTTTCATGATACTTGTTCTTCGCATTTTTTATATATTCTGCCGTGTATCACTTTCAAGAACGTTTTAAGTAAGTGGCTCATTAGGCTAATTGTTCTGTAGTCTTCGCATGTCTTGGCATTTACTTTTTTTGGTATGGTCACGAAGGTCGACTTTAACCAGCGTTGGGGTATTTTTCCAGTTACGTATATGTTGTTGAATACAGTTGTTATCCATTTTATTTCCATGTCTCATCCATAAGTTTAAGGAATTCTGCACAAAACTCGTCAGGCCCTACCGCTTTACCATCTTTAGTTCTTTTAATAGCGTAACGTGACTTCTTCATATGGTAATCGGGGGTGCTGTTTAGCATTCAGTGTCTTCAATGGTAGACTGTCTTCCATCTGCAAAAGTTACTTCCACATAATTCTTCCAAGTGTCTAGTTTTTCTTCCACGGTTAACAGTTGTTTGCCTTGGTTATCTGCCAAACACCCCAACTCTTTTAGGTTTGTATAAGCCTGCGGCTTCTTTAACTTTTTTGTACTAATAGCTAAGGATACACATCTAATCACTAAACACATCTATAAGGATACCAGTACGGAATTATCAAGACAAATACAGCTAACTCATTCTGGAATTATGTACCTATAGCATAAAGCTACAGTGGATGAATAAGAATAGCCAGAAGAAGAGCACATCAGATGTTGGAGACATCCCTATTTACTTATTAACTATAAAATAGTCGACAACTGACAATCGACAATTTTCAATGAAACTGTAGATTGAAGTTGTCTCTAGTCGCTAATCAAAATTTTTGGATTTGTAGGAAAAGTTAGGATTCAACTAAAATATCCATTTGTCCATTATACAAGAACATGTAAAATGTCTAAACTAAGTGAGCTAAATAAACTAAGCAGTTAACTACAGTGAGAATATCATAACTTATAATCAATAGTTTGATAAAAAAATGAGTAGACGGAAATCAGATATCTAAAATATTTGATACATAATATAAAGGCTATATTTAACTATACTATCAGGAGATCTAACATCTGGGAAGACGTGTATATCATAACTACAAAAACCATGAGCTATGAAATCAGCTCCTTATCGAGGGTATCGATTGATAAGGTTAAAAGGTTTCGAAAACACGTTCTACACCATTAAACAACACAGCCAACATTTGCCAAAATAAGTAAACTCAACACTTTGTATCTTTATGCATCTCAACAATATTACGACGTATAGTGAATCGACTGGGGTTGACTTTAGTAAATCAACTTGTTTCCGATTCCTTATAAAAACAAGTTAACTATATAGTATTCCTCAACTGTATAGTATTAAGGCTTGATAGATCAAATGGAAAATAATAACATACCGAACTAATACTAAACTTTATACTAACTTGCTCAATACAATTAACAAAATTGTAACCAACATAATAAAACATACCCAAACCGTATGAAAACAACTATGTACCAGGATGACAGTTCTGTACCAGTATTTTTGATATATAATTAGGTAAAACTTATTATCTAAACTAACATAAACATAAAGTAGTAACAAATTCAAACTAAATAAATACAACATAGCAGTTATCCGGGGTTTTCAAATTAAATCCTATCCAAATATTAATCATGAACTAACCAAGTATTACCAAAAAATTAAAAGGAGGAATTAAACTTAAGCAAGGTTAAGTTACATCTTCTTCTGATGATGAAGAGTACAAGTCATTGACAGTATCCGGTAGTAAATCCTTACGTGGAATTG